TGCTCCTCTGATGCGGCTTGGCCTGCTGTGTTCATCCAGCTCTACACCTTGCTATCTCAGATTCTCCAGCATCTGCAGTTCCTGCTATCTCTGAACCAGTTTGATTCAGTGCCTTTGAGAAAAAAGGGAAGGTAGGAGGAAAGCACACTAAAAACCAGGTTTTCCTGAATGCCTGGGATTTATATTCAAAATAACCTCTTGCAAACTAATTGAACAGAATGGAAAATACAACAGTTTGTAACAAGTAATTATTCCATTCACACACTTGGTGCTTTAATTTGAGCAAACTACTGTAGTTGAAGCAGATGCAAAAAGACAAACAGAAAAAGTGTTACACTTGTGTAGTCATTATCATAGAACATACATTAATTATTATAAAGAACAAATACTTTGAACAAGGGTAAATGAATCCAAAAAAACTGTCTCCTCATAACAGACAACGAGTAATGCAATTGTATACTACGTCTTCCGGATGTGGAAGATCTTTACTTTGTTGTTTTTGTTTAGATCACTATTCATTAATAATTTGGTCACAATCCTAACATATTGCTCAAGCTACATTCTCAGTAGCTGTGGGATACAATGTGAATCTGCTCTCTAACATCCCACATAAATCCTTTTTTGTTTTAGTCAAACCAATTGAACAGCCAGAACTTGAGCACATCAATGAGAAGAAGCTGGAGGACTATTTGGAAATTATAGTGAAATAATCAGATTTTAGCATGTCTTTAAAGGTTGGGATAGCTGGCCTTCTAATAGCTTTTACTGGAGGATTGTAGAAATGGAAGAAATGGTTAACATCCCATAGCTAGACCTGGTATTGGGGAATGAGCCTGGCCAGGTGATTGAAGTTTTAATGGGGGACATTTCGGGAACAGTGACCATAATTCTGTAAGTTTTAAGTTACTTATAGATAAAGATAAGAGTAATCCTTGGATGAAAGTACTAAATTAGGGGAAGGTTAACTATGACAATATTAGGCAGGAACTGGGGAATGTAGCTTGGGGGCAGCTGTTTGAAGGTAAATCCAAATCTGGCATGTGTGAATCTTTTAAAGGCCAGGTGATTAGAGTTCAGAACCAGACGTTCCTGTGAAAATGAATGATAAAGATCGCAAGATTCAGGAACCTTGGAAGACAAGAGAAGTTGAGAGATTAGTCAAAAAGAAAAAAGAGGCATACATGAGGTTTAGGAAACTGAAGACAGGCAGACCCCTCAAAGAATACAAAGATAGCAGGAAAGAACTTAAACAAGGAGTGAGGAGGGCTAAAAGGGGTCATAAAATGTCTTTGGCATACAGGATTAAGGAAAATCCCAAGATGTTTTATACACTATATGGAGCAAGAGGGTACCTAGGGAAAGAGTAAGTCCACTCAAGGACAAAGGAGGGAATTTATACATGGAACTGGAGGAAGTGGCTGAGGTTCTTACTGAGTACTTTACATCAAAATTCAGAAACAAGAAGGACATGATGGATGGTGAGTTTAGAAAAGGGTTTGTTGATATTCTAGGGCATATCAATATAAAAAAGGTGTTGGGTGTTTTTAAGAATCTGATGGGATCTATCCCAGAATGCTGAGGGAGGCAGGTGAGGAAATTGCTGGGGTCTAGTACGAAATCTTTGTATCTTCTTTAGTCACAAGAAAGGTCCCAGAGGACTGGAGAATAGCCAACATTGTTCCTTTGCTTAAGAAGGGTAGTAGGGATAATGATAGAAATTATAGGCCAGTGAACCTTACTTCAGTGGTAGGAAAATTATTGGAGAAGATTCCTAGAGAAAGGATTTACTCACATTTGGAAAGTTATGGTAGGCAGCATGACTTCGTGCTGAGGAGGTTGTGCCTCACAAATCTGATTGAGTTTTTCGAGGAAGTGACAAAGCTGATTGGTGAGGGCAGGGCGTTGGATGTTGTCTACATGAACTTTAGCAAGGCTTTTGGTGAGGCCCCTCAAGGCAGGCTGATACAAAAGATGAAGCCACACTGAATCAGTGGTGAGCTGATAAGATGAATACAGAATTGGCTTGATCATAGAATGCTAAAAGCAGAGGTGCAAGGATATTTTTTTCTGACTAGAGATTTGTGACCAGTGGTGTTCCACAGGTATCAGCGCTGGGGCCCCTGTTGTTTGTAATATGCAAATATGATTTGGAGGAGAATGTAAGTGGCTTGATTAGAAAGTTTATGGATGACACAAAGATTGGGGGAACTATGGATAGTGAGGAGCAAACTGAGGATACAGCAGGATATAGATAGGTTGGAAACTTGGGCAGAGAAATGGCAGATGGACTTTAATCTGGACAAATATGAGGTGATGCATTTTGGAAGATCTAATGCAGGAGGGAAGTATACAGATCCCTTAGAAGCATCAACATATAGAAGGATCTAGGAGTACAGGCTCACAGTGCCCTGAAAGTGGCAACACTAGGGCATAAGGTGGTTGAGAAGGATTATAACATGCTTGCCTTCATCGGGGTCAGGGCATTGAGTATAAAATTGGCAAGTCATGTTGTAGCTGTATAGAATTTTAATTAGGCCACCTTTGGAATATTGTGTACAATTCTGGCTGCCATACTACCAGAAGGACGTGGAAGCTTTGGAAAAGACATAGAAATTGTTCACCAGGATGTTGCCTGTTGTGGAGGGTATTAACTATGAGGAGAGATTGGTCAAACTTGGTTTGTTTTCACTTGAACATCGAAGGATGAGGAGCAACCTAATAGAAGTTTGCAGAATTATGAGAGACTTGGATAAAATGGATAGTCTGAGTCCTTTTCCCAGGATAGAAATGTCAATTACTTGGGGGACATAGTTTTAATGTAAAAGGGGGAAAGTTTGAAGGAGATGTGAGAGGCAAGTTTTGTTCAGACGGAGGGTAGTAATTGCCTGGAATGTGCTGTGTGAGGAGGTGGTGGAAGTAGATACAATAGCAACATTTAAGAGGCATCTTGACAGATAAGTGTATCTACAGAGAATAGTGGGTTATGTAATGCGTAGATGCAAAAGGTTTTTAATTTAGAAAGGCATCATATGTCAGCGCAGCCTTGGTGGGTTGAAGGGCCTGTCCCTGTGCTGTACTGTTCTTTGTTTAGCTGTCAGCTGAGATGAATTTGTAGTTTTAAGTTAGTTACAGAGATCTATGTGTTGCAAGTTGCATTGTTAATGTCACTGGATTAAATTTTGTTATTTAGAATCATATTTACAAGGGAAAATTCCTATTTCCAGGGAACACCTCACGGGAAAGAGTAGGTCTGCAGCTTGTAATTGGTTGTTGTTACAGTGAACGAATGGACACATCAGGGATGTATCCCACATTTCTCCCAAATACATGTTCTGTGACAGTCACTGCCATTTGCCATAGCCAAGCATTGAATCATTCAATGATAGTGATTGTGTCCAAACTGATCTTATCTCAACGGTAATGGAAACTGGAATAAGTGATATCTTGTGTTTCTGTAAGTTAAGTGGAGCTCAGGGTCGGGTAGAGGTTGTGTTGGGAAATCCTCAAGCGGCTCTCTGACTGAATTACTGATTATCAAAAATGCTATTTGCCTATTTTTGACACATTAGAAGTCCAGTTTGGCTGTACTTATTGTGACAAGACTGTGTTTGCTTTATTGTTTCTGGTTGTTGACTGGAGGTATTGTCATTTCTTATTGCGATTGGACTATAACTGCATTCGTGATCATTGTCCCTGTTTGAGGAAGATGGCGAGGGGAGACTTGTCTTCCCCTGCATGAATCTCAGAGTGAGATTTGGGTGACTGGGGTGAGGTAAGCAGGAAGTAGCCAAACGGCTGAAACTTCAGCTGTTTTTGGGGAGCCAACCAAGGCTTAAATTGTAAGGGGCACTTATTAATTATGGAAACAAAACCTTAATCAGTTCACCAGACTGATTCCCAGGATGGCAGGACTAACATATGAAGAAAGACTGAGCTTATACTCACTGGAATTTAGAAAAATGAGGGGGGATCTCATAAAAACATATAAAATCCTGATGGTATTGAACAGGCTAGGTGTAGAAAGAATGTTTCCAATGTTGGGGAAGTCCAAAATTAGGCATCACAGTCTAAGAATAAGGGGTAAGCCATTCAGGACTGAGATGAGGAAACATTTCTTCACTCAGAGAGTTGTGAATCTGTGGAATTCTATTCCACAGAAAGCTGTTGGGGTCAGTTTTTTAGATATATTCAAGAGGGAGGTGGACATGGCCCTTTGGCTAAAGGGATCAAGGGGTATGGAGAGAAAGTGGAAGTGGGATACTGAAACTGCATGATCAGCCACGATCATATTGAATGGTGGTGCAGGCTCGAAGGGCCGAATGGCCTACTCCTGCAGCTATAATCTATGTTCCTATGTTTAAGGATAAGCATGACCAATTAATGGGCCACAAGGTTAACCCAGGGTCCAGCAGAGCGAAGTGTGAAACTCAAAGATCAGGAATACTGCAGCCCAGGGTGGGGGGATTTAGGGAGGATAAGTATTAAACCCATGAGATCAGTGCAGAGAGCCACTCTGAGGAGAATACACTGGGAAGAGTGGGAGAAACAAAGCAGCCCAATGAAAGACAAAGTGAAGGATGTGGAGTCAGCTGATACAAGATGCAAGCAAAAATCAGCAAAGGAGTGAGTTCATAATGCACATCATTGGATTATGTCATAAAGACCGACCAGCTCTTTCCCAATGGTTTGTCATCAATCTTTCACAAAAGAATTGTCTCTTGAACCTACACAAACCAATTGATCTTTCTATAAATTCCTACTGAACTATTTCTCAGAATGATTAACTCCTTTGAAATCAAATCAATGTTTGTTATAATTGGAAGATTGATGATTGTGTATTCAATTAGAGAAGTATTTGAAAATGGTTGAATAATTGATAATTGGCCCCAAAACAACAAAATGCTGAAGTATTTTGTAGAATTAACATAAGCAAAAGTCTAATTGGATGGCAACTATAGTACTTTTATGAGTAAGCAGCAGCGGGAAATGGTAGATAATTCTCAAAACCTTGCTATTTTAGTTTGAATCCAATTTATGTACTTGCCTACTCTTGTATATACACCTGGGTATTTGTAATGTGCACAACTAATTCCCCAGGATACAATTCCTTCAATGACTCCATTACAAATCAGTGGTCCTCCAGAATCACCCTGTCAGGAAGGAAATAAGAAAAGGAGAGTCAATCAAGAGCTATTGAGAATTTTAGTTTGATAATGTCACTTTCCTGTAGTATTTCATAGCAAAGCAAATACAGTCCTCAAGTGAAAGAGAATTAGAGCAGATAAATAAGCCACAGGGATTCAGAGAGAATTGAATTTAAAGTCACACAGTTTGTCGTTTTGTTTGATACAGTTCCAGCTGCTGTGTGAACATTTGGAATGGAATGTAAACCTGATGTAATGTGATGAAACCTTCCAGGCAGTAGCATTACTGCAGCAAATAATTCAAAGTAAACAGATGTAATCTTCTCAATGTTTGGCTGCTAATATATTATGAACATTACATATATGTATGGTAAGGATTAAGCAAAATGTACTTTCTATTTAGCATTAATTTAATACTTAAAAAGATTCCCAGTTTTATTTTCTTCCTGTTCCTGGTGTTTTTCTTCCTATCAGTCAATTTAGTGGACATAGCATCTCTTAGATGTATTATCCTGGTGGCCAGTCCTTCATGTATAAGCTTATAGAGTGAATGTTGGCAGACAGTTTAGCTACAGAATACCACAAAAACTAGGAGATTCCTCATTTAACATTTTTTTTTAAACAGCCCCTTTGGACATACTGCAACACACTCCTAGAGCAGCTGATACTTCAGCCTAGGCTTTTTAACCCAGAGGTAGGACACTGCCATTGCACAACAAGACTCTTTAGGATTTGATATTCAATGTCCACAAATACACTTATTTTGGTTAACTATGGAAATCCTGTGTCATTTTCCCTTTCTAGTATATGGGTACTGAGTTGGATTGTATTGTTCTAAAGCTAAACGCCTTAGTTCATTTGAGGCTATGACTGAAACCAGAGAGCTCCAGGTCTGTAAACCTTTTGGATAACAGGCCAACAAGGTGTAGCATGCTTTTCTGATGAGAATTTGTAGTGTGCATCCAAAATCCACACAGCTTATCATATGTTAACTTGTTGAATCCCCAAATCAACCTGATTAAATTTATAGTGAAAATTACAGCTTTAATTTGAATTACTAGTTTACAAACAGTTCTAGATGGAATATTATTGTGAACAGAGGTAATTAGGAGGTTAAATATAAAGAGTTACAATTAACCATACCTGACAAGAATCCTTGCCTCCTGTACTGTATCCCGCACAGATCATGTAGGGATGCACTCTTCCACCATATGAAGAAGGTCTATTGCACTTGTAGCGAGGAATGATTGGAATCTTGACAGCCATAAGTATATCAGATAGACTATAACTGTAAACAGTGGTGACTCCCCAGCCAGAGACTGTACATAGGGTATTTTCAGGAACCATTTCATCAGTAGATGGAATTGCTACAAAGTTGATATATGCATTCTGTTTTGCTGGCCTATTCAACTGATAAAACAGAAGTGTTACATTTGATACATACACAATAGATCTGCTGAACAGATTTACTCAAATGTTGGTCTGCAATATCAAACTAATTTGGGGTTGTAACGATAGTATGTGTGCATTTAAAGAGTAGTGACCCATTTTGACGTATCTCCTATTGTGGTCCACTTGAACAAACCTCTGTTGATAAGGAGTAGTCATTTTAGATGCTTCTCTAACATATTCCTTGACATTTCCTTGGTATTTAAAAATGGCACACTGTCTCCGACAAAGTTTTCCCTCTGCTGTTTGGGAATAATTTTGTAGAATATCAGGGCAGCAATGTTTACTTCCTATTCACCCTTCATCAGCAAATGTTTCTTTTCTCACCGAAATCCTTACACATGCATTCAGTCCACACAAAAAAGTCTCAACAAGCGTTTTTTTCCTTGGTGTGTACCCACTATCGCACCCTTTTTGAACCTCATTATGATACTTGGCAAATACATAGAATTACATTTGCAGCATGGAAATGGGCCATTTGCTCCAAAAGTGTATGCCAAGCAGTTTTGAGGCTGTTGGTAGCAATTGCAATGTAACGGTGAACAAACATAAGATCATTTATCATTTTATTAACAATAACATCCGAACGGAAATCTTCACTTTTAGTGTTGCTATGTGTAGTAACAAGACCAAATCATTCCCACTGATGTACAGAACAAATGTCATTTTCAGCAGCATGATAATTTGAAACTGTAATTTTCTTTTCCGATTTTGAAATGGTTAAAGCAATTCCAACAAAGTTTGGGTGAGATCAGAGGTACAATCTTGCAGGAATAAAGCTGGCACTGGGGACATGGAGGAGAACCCTCAGTTGCTGGGGTTCTGCCTCTGTTAGAAAGTTGAAAAAAATTCCAAAGTATGGGGTCATTTCTTTTGCCTGTTGCCTACAGTCTCACTGAGATTTCCGACTGTATCTGGGCTACTGAGGAAATTCTACTAGATATGGTCCTGATTCTAGGTATAGATGTGATAGGGCCTGAGAACAAAAGTAAGCATGACTGTGCCTCACATCAGGAAGAAACTAAGGAGCTGCCAGTATGATAAAGAAAAGCTTATAATGATGTAGTATATTCTATGACCACAGGAAGTGGTCTGAATCTTTACAGCCAATGAAGTGATTCTGAAGTGTAAAAGTGCAACCATCAATTTGTACGTGGCAAGCTCCCACAACAACAGTGAATGACCAGATCACTGACCATTGGGGAAATCAGACCCCTCCTCCAGATTTTCGGCACAAATCAAACCATGGAACTTTAGCACAATCTGAGAGGGAGGTCAGGCTTTGATTTGACACCTCATCCAAAAGACAGCATCTGAGTGGTCTTAACAAGGTGGACATAGAAGAGATGGTTCCTTTTGTGGGTCAGTTCAGAGCTAGGGGTCACTGATTCAAAATTAGGGGTCACCCTTTTAGGGCAGAGATGAAGGGAAACTTTTTCTCTCAGAGGGGTTGTGTGACTTTGGAACTCTACTTCAGAAGAGGGTAGGGTCAGTGAATATTTTGAAGGTGGAATTTGGTAGAAGAATCAAGGGTTATTCGGGTAAAGGAAAATATGGAATTAAAAACACAAACAGATTGGCCGTACTGTTATTGAATGACAGAGCAGGCTTGGGGCATGAAATGACCTACTTCTGTAGCTCATTTGTATGTTCAGGCAGTGCAGTACTCCTTTAGTATTCTGTCAGAGTATCAGTGTTGAAGTGGGTCTTGAACCTACTGTGTTTCATCTTACAGGCCTGAGTGCCACTAACTGAGCCATAGCTAACAGATGAATCTCCTTCTTTCTGGCATAGGATTTGACCTCTGGCAAAAGGCAGACACCAAAACTGTATCAACGCAGGCCCTGGGTCACCTGTATCAATGGTTTAAAAGATCTGCCCTTGGGACTCATTTAAGGGAAAATAAAACAGAAGCTGAAGTTGCAGAATGGGATGTTGCAGAACTTCCACACTTGGCAAGTTAAGCTGGAATGTCAGTCTGACTCAGTGTTACAGTGAGGTGACCACTGGCTCTCAGAACGCATGTTTTGAGACATCTGATTTTAAAACACACTTTTACAGCACACTTTTACCTGCTAATGTAAACACACCAACACTGTCCCAATGACACTTGCTGTTTATTGTTATACTTCACACAACTTACTTTCATCAGCATGATGTCGTGCCTGAATGTTGCAGGTTGGTAGAAAGGAAACATTATAAGTTTGATCACTCTGTAGAACTGTTCATTGCCATCTGACCTGGAAAGGCTATGTTCACCCAAAACAACTGTAATGAGATATGGACTGGAACAGAAGAACAACCACATGGAGAGTAGTGAACTTATATTTGATTTTTAAAGCATTTTATATTATTTACTTGTTATTTTAAAACAGACATTGTAATTTATATTTGTAAGGAACCTACGGTTTCACACAATGAGCTGCTGACAGGATCCACCTGGGGTTAATTAAAGTCCCACTGCAGTAATGTACTGATCTTATCTGTAAGGAGGCTTGATACGGGATAGAGTGAGGGACAACTTCAGATCCTCCAATGATCCTGTCTTCAGCTAGACCTGAGAAATTAAATTAAATGTATTTTTAAAAATTTAGGTCTGAATTTTTGCTTCCAGGTTGGGGAGTTGGGTGATTCCCAGCTCCACATACCCTCCCAGGAAAACATGCCCTGGCAGTGTGGACTTTTTTTCTGAGGGTGGCATGAAAATGGGAGTCAGTTCAGTCAACCCCAGGGCAAGCAGAGGGGCTGCTGGGTGCACAGGCTAACTGTGCAAACTGCCAGTCTCATTCCTCCATCATTATAAAAAAAAAGAATAAAACAAAATACAGTCTTAAACCCATACCCCTCCCACCCCCAAATCTCTACACACTCGCCACCTCATCCAGGTCAGCCCCAGTCACTCCATTCATCCCCATGGCCCATTACAGCTCCATGTCAACTGAGTGCCAACACATGTCGACCCATGTCCCCACACCCACTGCCCTTTGCTGTTATATACTCCATGTAAACCCAGCCACCACGGACAGACCTCAGGACCTATGCTGAAATTCATTGCTGCTTTTAAGTGACTTTTGATGAATTCCTTTTATGAAAAATAAACAAGCTAATCGTAAAAGAAAACCCAGTCACTATATTTAAGTTCCTTTACTCCATTATAAAAATAAGCATTTGTCTTCAAAGTCCTAATTCAAATATTTTATGTGCACTTGGAGATGTCAATCAAACTGTAAGTTGACAGGCACCCCATTGTGATCATGATAGGCTGTGAAATCCCTCATGCAGCACAATAGCCTTCAGGCCTATGTCAATCCATAGAGTGAAATAGCAAACATTGATACTTTAGGACAATTTTTTTTTCAAAATAGGGAAAGGTCAAAAGATTCAAAAGCTTTGGCAGGTTCACAGCTCCCTTTGGTATTTCTCTGACAGCTTAAATGAGTTTATCTACCCTCTACTTTTAGTAATACCAAAGGGCACTTGATATTTCCCGAAGGTATTCCAGGATCACACTTTCAATGTCCAAATGGTACCCCACTGCTCCAAAAAAAATGCAGTAAATTAAGATCTTCTCCTTTTGGGTCTGAAGTATACAAGTCAGGATTTGGACATCCCACGAGTGAAATCACTTTAATAAATGTAGTTTCCTCTGTGTACTATGGATGTGCAAATTACAACCCCTTCCCCTGCAGAGTTGGTGGTGGTTAATGTTCAGGGAGAGGACACCCAGATTTAGGTCTGTGGTCCCATCAGGGCTTATTAAGATGCAGACCTCAAGTTGTAACAGAGTTTGTGGCTTCCAGCAGCTTACATTCTTATGGGATGTGCCAAGAGTCAACACGGCCTTAAAAGCAAAGTTTTCCATTAAGACTATGTTTCAAAAAATAAATACTTGGAAACTCCATCTCGACTACTGCAACCTGTACTCAAAACATGACTTAATATTTTATTAAACAAACAAACTTCTTTTGCAGCAATCTTCAGCCAGAAGTGCCAAATTGTTAATCCATCTCGTCCTCCTCCAGTTGTCCCCAGCATTACAGATCCCAGTCTCCATCCAATGTGATAGCAAGAAATGGTTGGAGACACTGGATACTGCAAAGGCTACGGGCCCTGACAACATTCTGGCAATAGTACTGAAAACTTGTGCTCCAGAACTTGCTGCTCCCCTAGCCAAGCTGTTCCAGTACAGTTACAACACTGGTATCTATCAGACAATGTGGAAAATTGCCCAAGTATGTCCTGTATATAAAAAGCAGGACAAATCCAACCCGGCCAATTACCGCCCCATCAGTCTCCTCTCGATCATCAGTAAAGTGATGGAAGGTGTCAGTAACAGTGCCATCAAGCAGCACCTGCTCAGCAATAACCTGCTCAGTGACGCCCAGTTTGGGTTCCGCCAGGGCCACTCAGCTCCTGACCTCATTACAGCCTTGGTCCAAACATGGAGAAAACAGCTGAATTCCAGAGGTGAGGTGAGATTGACAGCCCTTGACATCAAGGCTGCATTTGACCGAGTGTGGCATCAAGGAGCCCTATCAAAACTGGAATCAATGCATATCAGGGGGCAAACTCTCTGGTGGTTGGAGTCATACCTGACACATAGGAAGATGGTCATGGTTGTGGGAGGTCAATCATCTCAATTCCAGGACATCTCTGCAGGAGTTCCTCAGGGTAGTGTCCTTGGCCCAACCATCTTCAGCTGCTTCATCATTGACCTTCCCTCCATCATAAGGTCAGAAGTGGGGATGTTCGCCGATGATTGCACAATGTTCAGCACCATTCGTGACTCCTCAGATACTGAAGCAGTCCGTGAGCACATGCAACCAGATCTGGACAATATCCAGGCTTGGGCTGACAAGTGGTAAGTAACATTCGCGCCACACAATTGCCAGGCTATGACCATCATCAATAAGAGACAATCTAACCAAAACCCCATGGCATTCAACAGTATTACCATCACTGAATCCCTATTGTCAACACCCTGGGGGTTACCATTGACCAGAAACTCAACCGGACTCACTACATAAACACAATGGCTATAAGAGTAGATCAGGAGCTAGGAATACTGCGGCGAGTAACTCACCTCCTGACTCCTCAAAGCCTGTCCTCCATCTACAAGGCACAAGTCAAGAGTGTGATGGAATATTCCCCACTTCACTGGATGGGTGCAGCCCCAACAATATTCAGGAAGTTCAGCACCATCCAGGAAAAGGCAGCCTGCTTGATTGGCACTACATCCACAAGCATCCACTCCCTCCACCACCAAAATAATTATTAACCTCTCATTCTCTGATGCTGATCCCATAAATGTTGAGAAAATGAAGCAATTACAAACTGATCATTTCATTTTTACTTGTTGCTTTTCAATTTGATTGCTCAGTGTCGTCAAATTTGAGGACATCATACTGAAACAGTGGCTGACATCAGCAATAGTTCAGTCCAACCCATTGGTTGGAAAGCACTGGAAAGATTTACTTACATAATTTGCAGTAAAGATCCCATGGATGAAGAGATTGTTCAGCCATATCAACAATCCTATCTAATACTCCAAGAGAGATATTGAACTTGAAACATTAACTCTTTTTCTGTCCTCATTGTGTCCTGGGATGTGCAGGCAAGGTGGATTAGCCATTGGAAATGCAGGGTTATAGGGATAGGGTAGGGGTGTGAGTCTGGGTGGGATTGCTCTTCCAAGGGTCAGTGTGGACTTGATGTGCCAAATAGCCTGCTTCCACATTGTAGGGATTCTATGATTTTGACCATCTGCATTGCTCTTAACATGCTTTGAATGCAAATTATTCAATTGGAAACATGGGTGATTAACTGATGGTGGTCAATAAGTGGGAAAAAAACCACAGGTGATGGGGGAAAAGAAAAATCAGTTGTGTGGAGGAGCATTTCTGCATATAAAAAAATGGAAGCCCCATAACCATGTTCACCATTTCAGAACAGGCCATTAGGGAAGGTAGCCAATCCTTACTCTTATTCTGATCAGACAAACTGTATTCAGGTTCAAACAGCACAGAACATGTCTCAGCAAAGACAATGTAAAAAACACACTTTTAAACAAATCATCAAAAAAAACCAGAAGTGATTTTCCTGCCAGTTGCAATTAACAAAGTGATTCTTAATGGATGCGAAGTGACAGCAAATGTTGTCTCTCACATCTCCATTTTCTGTCTGAATTTTTTGTGTTTCTACACAGTGTTTTGAGAAATTTCAATGTGCCACTTGAAACTTGACAAAGTTGTTTGTGGAGAGGTGTAGAAGATAAATGTTGTGCTAATGAGGCCCTGTTGATGGTTAAGTAGCTTCATTATTCTAACAATGTTCTTTTCAGCATTATGATATAGATCAGCTCCCAGGAAACTGGCTGCCTTGAGCATCTTAGTTTGTTAGCTGTGCAACTCTCAGCGTATATGGAAGACTATATATCCTACCAGTGGAAGCTCCATTGCAACCTACAACATCAGCAAGTAATGGATTATAGATGTTTACAGCCATTGTGTTTGTACTGACTCCCTTAAACAGAATCCATTTCCCTTTCCAACTCTCAGGGGTAGAATTTCCTCACTTGCAGTGAGAGTCTGGTGGTCCTACATGGCATAGATGAATTTTCATATGCCATCTTCTGCTGGTCTCCTCATTAAGTACACGAGTAAGATGTTGATTGCATTTCTTGTTGAATCTTATGGTGAAAGAGATAGAGATGATGGAAGCAGGAATGACCCCTCACACTGTGGTCCTCAACCGTGAACATGTCTTAGACAAAAGATGAGCTGGTTCTGCACTTCCAGGAGACGGTTTTGGAGAGGCTGGTGGACAGGATGATGGAGAGGAGGGCAGTCCATTTCCTGGTGATTGCCAAAGGCAACCATACCAACAAGACCGGCCTGGACAGGTAATGTAGTAAGAAGGTCAATGACCTACTCTCTGTAAGGGTAAGTGCCAACATCTTTTACATGCTACCTGACACTCACAGGGCCAGCACTCACTCTAACTCTGTTACATTTTCTAAACATCACCCCATAGCATTCAATGTCTTCACTATCACTGAATCCACCCTCATCAACATGCTAGGGGTTACCATTGACCAGAAACTGAATTGCACTAGCCATATAAATACTGCAGCTAAACTAGGAGGTCAGATTCTAAAAACTGTGTGTCGATATCTCACTCCTGACTCCTCCAATCCTGTCGATCATCTATAAGGTCTGGATCAAAGTAACTCCAACAACATTTAAGAGGCTTGACACCATCCAGGACAGAGCAGCCCACTCGAGCAGCCTCCTGTCCACCACGTTCGACATCCACTCCCTCCGCCACTGATCAGTGGTAGCATTGTGTACCACATGTTACACAACAGTGACTCACCAAAGGCTCCTCCAATCGCATCTTTCATACCTGGGTCCTCTTCTAACACAAAGGACAAGGGCAGCAGATAGATGGGAATCCCTCCCACCCCTGCTGCCTCCTGTAAATTCTCCTCAAGCCACTCACCACCCCGACTTGGAAATACTTCACTGTTCCTTCACTGTCACTGGGTCAACATCCTGGAATTCCCTTGCTAACGGCATTGGATGGTGTATTTACACCAGGCAGACTGTGGCCATGGTTGAGCTTCCACGTTCCTCTGGGGTAGAGAATTCCATAGACTCAGCACCCTCTGAGTGAAGGTGTTCCTCCACATCTCCGCCTTAAATGGCCTACATCTTCTCCTAAATTTAGATCCTCTGGTTTTGTTCTCACTAGCCTATCTACATCTACATCCACCCTGTCATATCTGTAAGAATTTTATTAGTTTCAATGAAACAACCTCCTGTTCCTCAAAGTTCTATAGAATACAGACCTTGTTTCCTTAATCCTGCCTCCATAGAACAATCTCACTATCCCAGGGATTAATGTGGTGACCCTCTGTAGCACTCTCTCTGTGGCATTACACCCTTCCTTAGAGAAAAAGAGCAAACTGTACACAATACTTAAGGTCAGGTCTCACTAAGGCTGTATAAATTACAGCAAGCCATCTTTACTCCTGGACTGAGATCCCCTGTCATGAAGACGAATATACCTTTTGCCTTTCTAATTGCCTGCATGCTAGCTTTTAGTGAGTCACGGACACCTATTTAAGAAATATTCTGCCCTTTTTTATCTTACCAAAGTGAGTCACTTCACATTTATTCACGTTATATTCAAATGTCATCTGCTATCCCAGCCTGTCCAAGTCCTCTTGAAATCTCCTTGCACCCTCTTCACAACTTGTCAAACAGGATTTCCCTTCATAAATTGCCACTATTTTCAAAATGTTCAATTATCATATCCTTTAGAATAGATTCTAATATTTCACCTACTATGGGCATCAAGCTAACAGGTTTGTATTTTCAACTCTCCATTTTCCTTCCTTCTGAAATTCTAGGGTTATAGTTGGCACTGTCTAATAAAATTATGAAAGATAACATCTAATGTATCCACTAGCTCTATAGCTATCTCCTTCAACACTCAGGGATGAAGGTCACCTGATCCAGGAAGTTTAATAGCCTTCAATCCAGCTGATTTTTCAAGGACCACTCTTTACTAGTATTAGTTATTCTAGATGATTTTCTGTACTTTCTTCTGTGAAGAAGGAACTATTAAGGTTCTCCGGTCTGAGTTCTCCTGTCCCCTGCTGTAGTAGGTACACATTGTGCTTCCAATCTTTTCCCTTTTAAATACAGTTGAAACTTTTACAGTCTGCCTATGTGTTCCTCGCTAGATTTCATTCATATTCTCATTTCCCTTTCTTCAAAAATTTGATGGTCCTTTTTTCCTGCTCTCAAATTGCTCCAAATTGTTCTATTTCTGGTATCCCTAGCAGATACGTCATTTGATCTAATACAATCTTTAACTTTTTTGTTAACCGTAGTTGATTCACCTTTCCCTTTGATTGTTTGGCTTTAGAGGAATGCATATCTATTGTAGATCTTGTTATTTTTCTTTTAATGCTAATTTTTGCCAGTCCACCATCAAATATTTTAATATAGCTTCCAATCTAGCATGGCTATCTCTTACCATATACCCTCAACAATGTTGCATTTGTAAGGAGCAGGGAGCTCAGATGGAGTAATACAATCCAGAGAACTTTCAGAGATAGGTCACATGGCCCAATTCTGAGTGGAATAAGCCAATTGCAGTTTTTTTTAGGAGTATTTGGGACCTGCCTGAGAGCAACAGCCCATTGTTCCCACTTTCTTTCTATGCAAAATGTGTAAACCCACCAGGGAGGAAATTTTTACCACTCATGGAGGATGCCTGAAGAGGATTGCTTGGAATTTACTCCACCATTTAAAGCAACAGGAATTCAGTCAAATACACCCCAGTGCCAGCAGCTGGTGTGCGCACAGAATAACTTTGAAATCAGAAGAAAATTTGGGATAATCCATGACGTATCCTTTCTTCATGAGTTTAGCTATTATGTGGCCACGCTAGTTTCTGCGGAGTTTTCATGTTTTTTTTATTTCTCCTCAGACATGTGTACGTGAGTGTTTTAATTTCTTAGGGGGTGGCTATGGAAACTTACATTATCCAAACTATTTGTAATTCATTTTTGCACCTTGTTTGAGTAAGTTTGTTTTCTTAACAAAGAAGTGACTTTTTGAAAAAAATTCATCGATACTGACATTGTCTGGGTCCTATATTATTGATGATTTTGCCAACTTAATAAATATGAAATTTGTTGTGATCAGAGTGGGAGTGAACTAGAATGGAAATAATGCATCCCTCCAACCTCGGTTGAATTATATCCATTTATGTCAGTTGATGAACATTGTTTGAAAACAGGATTGTACTTGGTTATGCTGGGGTCTGAGGTCAGACTGCACACTGGACCTTATTACTGAGTGTAATTAGATGAAGATTGGACAGTTGGTTGGAGGTGGGAAGCATGTTGCCCTCAAAAACAAGTTCTGATAGGCACCACCACTTTTAACAGGAAGGTTTTTTATGATCCCAACAAATACTGGACAAATCAGAACCCAGAATGAAACCTGGCTTGACAGATTGTATTTCTAATGACTCTAGACTCTAATTATTGCAATTGGTTACTTCAGTGGTTAGCGTTGTCCCTCAAATACATTTTCAGTTCATGGACCTCTGAGGTCCATGCATGGCAATGACTTCTGTAGCCAGAAAGATCTTAACACAAACATCAAAAGAAAGGTTTCAACCTATTTCCCCAGCACCATCTGTTGCAGAGACTCGATCCCAGAGAAATATCATTTATAGCTCCACATTTACATCTTAACTGAGGTTTTCCAGTTCCTTTCCCTTGGCTGTTGAAACTTTTATTTTATGATTCCTTTCCAAATCCATTTGCATGGAACTCTGATAATCCTGACAAGCCTAAACTTTCTCAATCCTAGCAATTTGACAATTTCTATCAAAACACTCTTGCTTGAAGCTCAACAGACTAGAAAGCACTTCTGCTGAAGTGACCTGTCCTGACTGAAAAGTTCTCCTGAAAACTAAAACTTGCTTCTGAACTCAACTCCCGATTCTTCTGAGCTAATACTTTGAATCTTCTGTTTTGAATTTCAAGCCAAACAAATTGCTTTAATGGCTTTACCCAGCTGGTCATAACCCCAACATTATAAGCATTTTTCCTTTAATATTTTGGAGGCTCTTCCAGGCACTCTACTGCAATCACATCCATTTTTGGAACAGCTGCATCAAGGTCACTGGTCCAAATTTATATCCTAACCTTAAAAAAAACTTCACAGAATTGACCACATCTGTCTGCCTCTATTTTAAAATCCAAATCCCCAAAACATTAATGTATATAAAATAAAACAAAACTTTCATCTCAAAGATCAAATGGGAAAAACAATCATTGAAGTAGAATACACTCTACGAATTCAATAGCACAGAGCCAAAGCTATTCTGTTTTTATGAATTCCATTATGATCTTTACTCTGTGGTTTCTACTCAGTCCAAAGAGTTAGTCGTATCATAACTATTATGAGCTAACCCTCACCTTACCTTGTGCAATGCTCAGCAACCCCAACAGCTTCAGATATACAAGGGCTGTCATTCTGTAATATCTGTGACACACACAAAACAGAAACATTTAGTTTCTCACACGTTTAGCTAAACCTCAACTCGATTCACCAATAGCTAACTGGGTTTCTCCTGAAATGAATTGAGTCATACCGACTGGCCAGTTGTTGGTCAAAATAAGTTTGGTGAGGCAGCAGAAGGATTTTAATTGGAATAAGATGGGGGAAAGGCAATCACCTACTGGTGTCTACGCAGTAGGTTTTACTGAGAATGTAGTTATCTTCACCACATGATGGAATAGTTTGCCAAACTCACTGACAGACATGTGGACAGCAATATCTTGAAAAACGTTCAGAATGTTACAGAATGCCCACAAACCTGTAGAGCAGCAAAATGTTATCGCTTTCCTGAGTGGAGGGGAGAGAAATAAATGGCACATTAAATAAAAATGGATTAATGAAACACTAAATAAAAATAAAATTTCTCTTCTGTCCCCAAACAACTTAAAACTTTCAGTTTCTATCCAACAAAAAACATAAGAGTCATTTATTTTCTGAGTATTAGTTACAAGATTCCACCATTCCTGAAAAAGCAGATTGGAAATAAATAACAAGTAAGATCTGACTTACATTAAATTTCCTTTCTGTAAGCAGACATATGATTGAATCATTCAATTATATCCAATTAACCTTTATGTCAATGAATTTTAGATATTTTAAAAAACTTCAATGACTTTTATATTTGTTATGAGCTACACATACCTTCAGGAAAGGGCGAATAATATATAACCCCACAATCTTCACCCTTTAATCTGCTTTGATTGTTAGTTTAAAATTAAACTGACAAGTTTCATAGTTCTTTTCATTATATATGTCAGTAACATTATATTGCAGCATTACCAAGGTAATCCTATAGTAGATATTCTCATGAGCATGCCTGAGGGCAAAAGGAGTACAATTGGTCCTTCGTAAATATACATTTTCTGAACTAATTCTCGAGTTACGTCCTTTATCACCAAGTGTTAAGGGAGAAATCCAATTCCATTGTATTATTTCTAGAAAAATAAGCCACAGAGTAGATTACATCTATAATAATGTCACAAAACAGTGACAAATGCATAATTTTTACTGTAACAAATTATTGTGGCTTGAGATTCTGATTAACAAGACAATTCCAACCAAATCACACAGCAAGCACCTGAAGGATAAATGTGATGCATGGAGGAATTTCAAACTCAATGGAGATTTGACTGGAAGTCTGACAATGCAGCCAATGTTTACAGGTTCACATTTAGTAATATGTCATTTTCTACATTTCTAACCCAGAAATCAAGATATATTAGTACTATATTTAATTATTTCACAGACAAGACTGAATAGAACGTCACAGTGTATCATTATCTTGATCTCTTTCATTAATCACAGTTGATTGTCATTAACTACAGCATCCCAGAAGGATATAGGTTGATTACTTCTTGGAAAAAGGGTCAAAGTTTGGAAAAAGAGAAACATTAATAAAAACACAAAATAGGTCAGGTTTCTCAGTAAGCTATTTAACTATGCAAGAACAGGCGAGGATTGTTAGAATGAGTTGTTTTTTGATGAAGTTACTGCTTAGTTAGAGAATCTAGGCCATAGCCAGTGACTTGATGTAGTTTTGCTCTGACTGCACATTTTTGATCAGCTGGCAAATTGCTGCTAACAGGAACTCTTCCCTGGCCATTGGCAGTTGCTGTTACAAACAGTAACTTAACAATAAAGTGACAAAAATATCAATGGGCTACATTTGTCTCCAGTAGCCCTGAGCAAGGGAGGGGTTGACAATCAGCCAAGGCTAATCCTGTTGGTTACTGTCTGGTGAGTCCCTTGTGAAAGCACACCTCACCGACACTCACTGCCCAGTCTCAGGCATAAGAATGTGAAAGAGTTGAGATGACAGAGGTTTCCTGCACATAATAGAGCCATGTCAGCATAACTCAGTTCCCTCAGGAAAGGAGGGAGAATATTAAAGAAAATAGGTTAAAAATAGCCAAAGGTGATCTAAAGGTAATTCCCTGTGAAAGGGGAATTGATGGTGATACTCTGTCACATGAAAGATTAGACTGGAAACCAGCTTAAAAAATGTTGAAATATTATGCTCGTACACAGTATTTGCTTCTGTATAGTACAAAAGACAGATGAAAAGTTTTCTCAGATAGTAGGAACTGCAGATGCTGGAGAATGTGAGATAACAAGGTGTAGAGCTGGATGAACACAGCAGGCCAAGCAGCATCATAGGAGCAGGAAGGCTGATGTTTCGGGCCTAGCCCCTTCATCAGAAATGGGGGAGGGGAAGGGGGTTCTGAAATAAATAGGGAGAGAGGGGGAGGCGGATAGAAGATGGATAGACGAGCAGATAGGTGGAGAGGAAACAGACAGGTCAAAGAGGCGGGATGGAGCCAGTAAAGGTGAGTGTAGGTGGGGAGGTAGGGAGGAGATAGGTCAGTTCAGGGAGGACGGACAGATCAAGGGGGCGGGATGAGGTTAGTAGGTAGGAAATGGGCATGCGGCTTGAGGTAGGAGGAGGGGATAGGTGGGAGGAAGAACAGGTTAGGGAGGCGGGGACGAGCTGGGCTTGTTTTGGGATGCGGTAGGGGGAGGGGAGATTTTGAAGCTTGTGAAATCCACATTGATACCATTGGGCTGCAGGGTTCACAAGCGGAATATGAGTTGCTGTTCCTGCAACCTTCGGGTGGCATCGTTGTGGCACTGCAGGAGGCCCAGGATGGACATGTCGTCTGAGGAATGGGAGGGGGAGTTGAAATGGTTCGCGACTGGGAGGTGCAGTTGTGTTTTGCGAACCGAGTGTAGGTGTTCTGCAAAGCGGTCCCCAAGCCTCCACTTGGTTTCCCCGATGTAGAGGAGGCCACAACAGGTACAGCGGTTCACCTGCACATCTGCTAAAAAAAAAAGCCATGGGTACCCGCATGGGCCCAAGCTATGCCTGCCTCTTTGTAGGTTACGTGGAACAATCCCTCTTCCATACCTACACTGGCGCTAAACCCCACCTCTTCCTCCATTACATTGATGACTGTATCGGCGCCGCCTCGTGCTCCCACTAGGAGCTCGAACAGTTCATCCACTTCACCAACACCTTCCACCCCAACCTTAAGTTCACCTGGACCACCTCTAACACCTCTCTCCCCTTCCTGGACCTCTCTGTTTCCATCTCGGGCAACCACCTATAAACTGATATCCATTTCAGGCCCACCGACTCCCATGGCTACCTAAAATACACCTCCTCCCACCCACCTTCCTGCAAAAATGCCATCCCCTATTCCCAATTCCTTCGCCTCCGCCGCATCTTCTCCCAGGATGAGGCATTCCACTCCCGTACATCTCAGATGTCCTTGTCTTTCAAGGACCGCAACTTCCCCCCGTCAGTGGTCGAGAACGCCCTCGACTGTGTCTCCCGCATTTCCCACAACTGATCCCTCACACCCTGTCCCCACAATAACAACCAAAACAGAATCCCCCTCGTCCTCACGTACCACCCCACCAACCTCCGGATCCAACGCATCAGTCTCTGACACTTCCGCCATCGGCAATCCGACCCCACCATCACAGACATTTTTCCCTCCCCACCCTTATCTGCTTTCCGGAGGGACCACTCTCTCCGTGACTCCCTTGTCCGCTCCACACTCCCCTCCAGCCCCACCACACCTGGCACTTTTCCCTGTAACCACAGGAAGTGCTACACCTGCCCCCACACCTCCTCCCTCACCCCCATCCCAGGCCCCAAGAAGACTTTCCACATCAAGCAGATGTTCACCTGCACATCTGCTAATGTGGTATACTGCATCCGCTGTACCTGTTGTGGCCTCCTCCACATCGGGGAGACCAAGCGGAGGCTCGGGGACCACTTTGCAGAACACCTATGCTCGGTTCGCAATAAACAACTGCACCTCCCAGTCGCGAACCATTTCAACTCCCCCTCCCATTCCTCAGACGACATGTCCATCCTGTGCCTCCTGCAGTTCCACAATGATGCCACCCGAAGGTTACAGGAACAGCAACTCATATTGCGCTTGTGAGCCCTGCAGCCCAATGGTATCAATGTGGATTTCACAAGTTTCAAAATCTCCCCTCCCCCTACCGCACTCCAAAACCAGCCCAGCTCGTTCCCGCCTCCCTAACCTGTTCTTCCTCCCACCTATCCCCTCCTCCCACCTCAAGCTGCACCCCCATTTCCTACCTACTAACCTCATCCCGCCCCCTTGACCTGTCCGTCCTCCCTGGACTGACCTATCTCCTACCTACCTCCCCACCTACACTCACCTTTACTGGCTCCATCCCCGCCTCTTTGACCTGTCTGTTTCCTCTCCACCTATCTTCTCGTCTATCCATCTTCTATCCGCCTCCCCCTCTCTCCCTATTTATTTCAGAAACCCCTTCCCCTCCGCCATTCCTGAAAAGTTTTCTAGTCAGTTTAAATTTGGTCAATTTATGAGATGATTTGATCATCCCCGAGGTTTACCTCTCCTCTGAAATTATATCAGTAAGTCAATACTCCAAAATTATAGAGGAACAATTTTTTATAATTCTCAAACAATGTAATCTTCCCAATAAAAACTGAAAGACTGTAGATGCTGTAAATCGGGAACAAAAACAGAAGTTGCTGGAAAAGCTCAGCAGGTCTGGCAGCATCTGTGAAGGAAAAAAACAGAGTTAACGTTTCGGGTCCTTTGACCCTTCCTCAGAACTGACGGTAGCTGGGAAAACGTTGGTTTATATTGCAGAAGATATGGAGGTGGGTGGGGTAGGGAGTAAACAATAGGATAAAGGAGCGAGCCCAAAGAGAGAGAAAAGCAGTTGGATATAGAAAGGAGTAGCTAACGATCAGGCTGTGAGGGTGAATGGTTATTAATGGGGACTGTTAGTGACTAACAACAGGGGGTGTGTAATGGTAGGCTATGTGGTAACAAGACCTGGTGTGTGGCGTAGGGGGCTGGGACATGGGAGAGTTTAGGCCTTAAAATTATTGAACTCTATACTGAGTCCAGAGGGCTGCAGGGTACTCTTCTCGTTAGCTTTACACTTTTTCTAAGTTAGAAGGTTAAATTTTGCAGGGGCTTTGTGGCTGGTAGACCTTCACAAAAGATGACACCACAAACAGTGAGGCGCTCCCTCAGCACTGTCCCTCCGACAGCACGCACTCCCTCAGCACTATCCCTCCGACAGCACGCACTCCCTCAGCACTGTCCCTCCGACAGCACGCACTCCCTCAGCACTGACCCTCTGACAGTGCGGCACTCCCTCAGCACTGTCCCTCTGACAGCACGCACTCCCTCAGCACTGACCCTCTGACAGTGCGGCACTCCCTCAGCACTGACCATTTGGCTGTAAAACACTGATGTTGTGATCAAATGTAGTGCAGTGCCCTGACTGCTAAACTCATGTCACTCATTACAGAATGGGTCAAATCAGGACCATCCTCATTTGTCTTAACTTAGGCACTCCCTCATAAATTGGCAGTGGCATTGTTAGAGCTCTACTAATGGCAATCTTCACTAAACAAGACACTTCATATAAAATCTACCCTGAGATCTTGAGACCTAATTTGGGTGCTGATATCAGTGCTTTTGTCTCTCAGTGATTACTCTTTCATACACAGGTGCAATCCAACTCATTAGTCCTGGACCATGAGTGTTATAAGTCATTCCCTTGCTAACTATGAGCATATTTAAAATAGAAGCACGTTTGTGAATCTCAGTTGAATTCAGTATCTTCTGCATCTTAACCTCAACTTCTCTGATGATCATAATTTCCGCATCAAGTCAACATATTGCAAAGACAGCATTTCTCCCAAGATTCAGTTTTGCAGAGAAGACCTTTTTGGTGCTGTTTTATCCTACCTTCCTGAATTTGGTACTTAGAATTTAACAGCTTAGCTAAATTAAATTTGCATTACAACTGGGAAAGCTTGCGGCCACAGTGATTTCTGGGGTTAGCTCAGTACGAACTATTTCCTGGGTTGTATCATTTTCTGAGCCACATTAGTTGGGAAGTGGGATTCACCATTGAATGCAAACAGGAGGAAGTTGACAAGTCTGTCAATGATTTTTTTGTTTAAATGAACTTGCTAAAAAGCACCTATTTTCTAGCATCACAGCAAAGTTCTTAAAACTTGATTTGTTCAGTAATACAAGTCAATCAGAGCTCAAAAGCATAACACTTCTTAACCTTCGATAGATACACCAATTGATCCAACTGGAAATCATTAACAATAGGTCAAATGCTGGCAAATGGGCCCAGGTCGGATTGGGATGTCGGGCTGGTGCTGATGAGTTGGACCACTGGGTCTATTTCCATGCTGTATGACTCTATGAAAGTTTGTAATTTGCCAATAAGCAAAGCCACCCTTTCAACAGTAGATACATCTATTTAGTAAAGTATAGAAGCATAAAAGATTACTTTAAACATTTAATAGGCTGAAATAGATGGGTTGTGGCCAAAACGAAGCAGCGCTTACTATGTTGAAGTGATCCTAAGCATGATTTATTTCACCTCAAGCAGAGAATTACAGTTAAATCTGATACATGTTGTTAATGCTTGATTGCAGTTTTACAGATTCCCATTTAAACCCAATTACAATATCTAATGTTACAAAGGAACCTGCCGGGGGAAACTCAGAATAAAAGAACACTTGCTATGCTAAAACTTCTTTGCCTTTCCCAGTCAGTGAGCTCAGTTTTACTCTGTTAGGTGGGAGTTTGATATTTCGATATCCATAAATACAAAATGAACATTTCCAATATTTATATATTGTTGCTGTTTTTCTCAAAACTGCCAGCAGCATTTGGTAAGTGTTTGCACATTAACTTTGAACTTTCCTAACTTAAAGTCATGTTATGAGACTTGATTGCTGTTTACTTTCTATCTTCAGCTGAGATTGTTTTGAAAGCAGAAGCTGAATATTTTGTGTCATTTTGTCTCCTGAAACTTAAAATGTGTCAAATTGATTCAGAAGATCTGAGAAGGCTGTCATCTACACCACAGCCCAATTGTTACTTATTCTTTGCAGCAAACATGTCCAACCAAAGAAATCAAACTGCTGAATGAATAATATACATGTTCATCTTATAGCTGGCAATGTTCAATTGCAATGTGATTATTGGATTAAACATCCAGTATCTGTTTAAGCCCTGCAGGAATACAATGACAAAACTTGGTTGTTTTATTTTAACTCTTCCCAAGGCTGGTCCCGGATTGTTGGTGGCTATTCAGTGTTACCTCATTCCATCAAATACCAGGTTTCTCTGAGGAGACCAGGAGGAACTCATTACTGTGGGGGGTCCCTGATCCACCGGCGATGGATTTTGACTGCTGCACACTGCAATTATGGGTTTGTGGAATTCTGAATGTAAAGTATTCCATTTAACGTAATAAAGGAGACCTCAATGATGCACAACCTATGAACTGTGTATTCCTGCTTCATTACAGTGGTGCTGAGCCAATGCAGATCGTAGCAGGGGAACACTCATTAACTAGATATGAAGGTACTGAACAACTGTTTCGCCCATCAAAGATCATACCCCATCCTCAATATGACTCAAAGAGAAAAGATTCGGACGTCATGCTGATTAAGGTAAATGTCGAATCCTAGATACCGGTAAGTATTGAGCCTCAGTAAACAATAAACTCTGTGTTGTATCTTCAGCTTTCTCCTATAATACCAAGAACTTTTCAAAGATGGAATTTCTTATTTGTCTTTATGTATCAGCCAGAACAATAACTATTAATGTCAAAATGAAAACTAATTTGTTTTTCCTTAATGGTGCATATTATTCACTTATCTACAAATCTAGTATTCCCATGAACGGCTCCTCAGTTCCTTTTTCAGTTGGATAAATGTGTTTGAACACAAACCTAAACAATCATTCAATTTATACCTAAACTGGATTTGCAAAACTGCCACTGTAACCAGCAAAAATGAAGGAATGGATATCCAGTTCTGTTGACCTACTTACACTGTAATCAATCCCTGAAACTACATAACACGTTCTCTCCAATGAAGTAACCTTTTCAGAACATTTTTCTCCCAATTTTCTGTACAACCTTGGTTTTTTTGTTTAAAAGCACGTTACAGTATCTGTAAATCTCTCCTGTTGGCAGTCAGTGATGACTCCCAAAGCTAGGGCTGAAGGAGAAACCTGGAACACCTTTTTGTTTCATTGCAGTTTTTTCCTGTGACTTAACAATGTAGCCATTTGTTGTAGACTTTACTCTTTATCAGTAAAATGAATAATCTCATTTGAACACCATTGAATGAAAATCTGAGCATTCACATGGTCCAGCCACAATATGTTTGTTTTCCTCTTTAATAAATATCCAACAGTTATTAATCTGGACCTGATAGTCCTCCCTTGGAGAATATATAAGATACATAAGAAGGAGTTGCCACACTAGATTTTCCAACTAAATTTTTTTTTAAGAAAACTCAAAGTTTTATTTTACTAACTGGCTGTTATTTAATCAGTAGAGGTGTTCCTCACAATGTATATAACCACCTCCCTGGATGGCACAGTTTCCAGAGGATGGTAGCTATTTACCTTAAGGTAGCCAAAGAGTGGACGCTGTTTGACAAATGTGAACATAATAGCTCATTAGCTGGTGGTCCAAGAAGTCAGACAAAAGAATAGCAACAGTTTTAAAAAAATATGTATTTTGGCTGAATGATTAGGTGATCTGCCACAAGGAGGGTCAATGCATTGACGCCTGTGTGAGACACAGCCTACCTGGCTAATTAAAGGAGGTGTTTTTCCGCATTCTGAAATTAAAACATCCAATTAACCTGGGAGATGGTAGATAACTTCTCACAAATGAGGGCTTGGAAAATTTTCATTCTTTAGAGAAGGAGTCAGGAGGTATTTTAATCTGGATAGCATTATAATCAAATCCTAATAATGCAAAAGCAAAATACTGCAGATGCTGGAAATTGGAAATAGAAACAGAAAATGCTGGAAATCCTCAGCAGGTCAGGCAGCACCAAGGAGAAAAATTGCAGGTCTGTGACCTTTCATTAATCCTGATGAAAGCTAATAATGCTGTTTGTTTTGCTATAAATTACGGTGCAGTGTATTGGGATAGCACAGGGAAAAGATTTACTAGTCACTTCCTTCTTTAAGATCCTGACTCTTTATGCTTATCTGTGCAGCCACCAGTTCTGAGGAAGGATCATCGGACCCGAAACGTTAACTCTGTTTTTTCCTTCACAGATGCTGCCAGATCTGCTGAGCTTTTCCAGCAACTTTGTTTTTGTGCCAGTTATTAAAGACTGTCTAAGGTTCATTTTAGATTGTTAGATTGTGACATTAACATTTATTCTTTGAGCTCCTTTAATGGTATGGTGGGTAAGTTGTACAGATAAGTTACCAGTCATGGATAATGTGAACCAAAAGAACTGTGGATGGTGTAAATCAGGAACAAAAACAAAGTTGCTAGAAAAGCTCAGTGGGTCTGGCAGCATCTATGAAGAAACAATCAGAGTTAATGGATAATGGATAATGTGAAGATTGCATAGAGATTGGCAATGATGCTACCGCTATGGACAATATCTTGATGACTTCTCCAGGCTCAGCTTCTAGATGCAGAGTGGGCCTTGGAGGAGGGTTCCAGAAAGGAGCTTGTCCATGTGGATCTCTATCCCCGCTCCCACTGGAGCAGAGGGAGCAAAAACAAGAACAAAAGCTTCAGGTGACAAGTGAGAAATTCAGAACCTGGTGATTATGAGGCTGATGGTTTGATTGCACTGGGTTATTATTAAGTTATTTGTGTGCCTTTACCCTTTCCAGCAATGCTCACAATATTGTAGGTCCTCATACTGCTGTTGGTTCTTGACTTAGTTTCATCATTTTTGAAGTGTCATCTCCGTTACGTAGATAGACTAGATTATATTAAAGTTATTCAGAGCTAAAACATACTGTTTCTTTCTGACCAAACATCTCTGATGTATCTGAAACAGCTTTCACGTCCTGCAAATCTGAACTACTTTGTTGGGATTGTACCTCTGCCTCGCCAAAAATCATCATTAGATGCAGGCACGTTATGCCAAGTGTCTGGGTGGGGCTTTGTCAGTGCAAATGGAAAGTTCATTCCAAGGATTTTGAGGGCAGTTCAAGTGCCCATTGTATCTAATTCAAAGTGTAATCACACAGACTCTTACAATGGAAACATCACCACAAACATGATCTGTGCTGGATTCACCACTGGAGGAAAAGATTCATGCCAGGTATGAATATTTTCACTCAACATTAAGGCATTGTTAAAATGTACCGTACTAGTACTTTCTACTGTGAACTGTAATCAATGTGCAGACCATAGGCTTTAGGGTATTTTCTAAACTGGGATTAGTGTAAGGATACAGCTGAGTGATGCAGTGCCTCAGAACAATAACCCACCAGCTGAGACATGTGGATTTGAACCCAGCCTAGACCCAAAGTGGTGGAAGTATCTATTCTCAATAAAACTACATACTAGCAGAAAGCTGTCCATCAATGGATATCAAAGTCTTAAGTTTCTGAGGTGGCATTGATAGCAAGCTGACTCATGGCCTATTAATATCAACTTGGTTAACTTATGGTTACATTTGAACATATGAATTCACAACAGGAGTAGGCCATTCAGCCCCTTGAGCCTTCTCCACATTCAATAAGATCACAACTGATCTGACTATAACCTCAAATCCACATTTCTGCCTATCCCTGACATCCTTCTATCTCCTTGCTTAATAGAAATCTATCCATCTCTGTCTTAAGAATATTCAAGCACTCTGCTTCCATCACCTCTTCAGAAAGAGTGTTCCAAAGACCCATAACCCTCTCAGAGGAAAAAAAATCATTCACCTGTCCTTAAATGGTGACTCCTAATTCTAGTTTCTCCAAGAAGCAGGAACATCCTCTCCACATCTACCCTGTCAAGATACTTGGGGAGCTCATGTGTTTCAATCAAGTCACCTCTTAGACTTCTAACCTCCAAATGAATACAAGCGTAGCCTGATTAATCTTTCCTCCTAAGACGACCCTCTCTTTCCAGGTACTATCCCAGTAAACCTTCTCTGTCCTGCTACCAGTGTGTTTATGTCCTTTTTTAAATAAGGTGACCAATCCTGTACTCAGTACTGTAGATGCAGCCTCACCAGTGACCTATAATATTGAAATGTAACCTGCCTACTACTTGATTTCCTCACATTTTGGTAATATTCTATTAGCTCTCCCAGTTACTTGCTGTACTTGCTCACTAACCTTTTATGATTCATACATTAGGACACTTAGATCCCTCTGCATCGCAGAGCTTCGAAATCTCTCACTGTTTAGATAATATGCTCCTTTAATATTCTTCTGGCCAAAATGGACAATTTCACATTTTCTCACCCCTGAGGTACCCCACTCGCTACATCTTGCCAACAAGAGAAGGACTCATTTCTGTTAGCAAGCCAGTTTTCTATCCATGCCAATATACTACATCCTGCATCATGAGCTTTTATTTTCTGCAATAACCTTTGATGTGTCCTTTATAAAAGCCTTCTGGAAATCTAAGAAGCTATGACTCTTTGACTCTATGACATCCACTGCTTCCCCTTTATCCATAGCATTTATAACTCCTCAAAGAACTGGTCAAACATGATTGCCCTTTCACAAAATCATGTTGATTCTGCCTGATCACGTTGAACTTAGTCAAGTGCTCGCCTACAACTTATTTAATAATAGCTTCTAATATTGATCCTCTTACAGATGTTAACTAACTAGCCAATCGATTTGGTCTCCCTTCCTATTAGAACAAAATAATTACATTTGCTATTTTCTGATCTAATGGGTCTGTTCCTGAATCAAGGGGGTTTTGGTAAATTAAAACTAATTCATCTCACAATCTGACTAGCTACTTCTCTTAAGACACGAGGATGAAGTCGTCAGAACCCAGGCCATTGTCAGCCACTACTCCAACAATTTACGCTGGTGATTGTGATTTTTCTGATTTCCTCCCTCCCTCCCATTTCTTAATTTGGTTGGAAAGTTATGACAATATTGTTCAAGAAAATCTCAAGGATGGCTGGCTGAATACAGCCCATATCCTGCCTGATAGCTTCCTAATTTGTATGATCCATGCACTGCCTCAGCCAGGGGGACCGTGATTAGTATTTCGTTTGAAAAAAGTTGATGAAGGATTTAAAAACATTTGTTGATATTTGATTCAGAATTTTCACTGTGAAATTCTGCGGATGCATCTAATTACTGAGGCTTGAGGTTACTGTGGAGCCATCACCACAGTCACTCTCTAACTGTCTGAACAAGACACATAGTAATGGAGAACCAATGGACTAGACCAGAGGATGATAGACCGCAGCAAAGATTTACTCATTGCATAAACATTAAAGCACTTGCATCCTTAGTTTTAGATTTGGTTAATAAACAGCCTTAGGTTTCAGCCAATGAAAACACATATTTTGAAAGCTTGTTTCCCCATCCCACCACTGTATCATTAGCCTCTGTAGAAACAATAATTTATTTTCCACAATTGCATCCAAAGATTAACATCCAATGCTCATTAAATCCTAAACATAATATTGATATCTCTCAATGCTATGCTAGTTTTGATCTGTAGATGTTATTTAGCATGTACTGTGAAACAAATACTATATTTCAGGAAAATGCCCTCCTCTTCCATTATTTCACAAGCTTTGAAATAGAGCAGCAGCCAATTAATTCCTCAAATTCTGTGATTTCTCTGATAGAATTATGATATGTTTAAGTTGGCAATCTGTTAAGAGTTGTTTTATTGGGCTGGGTGCAGTTTAAAGTTTAACCTTTCAAATTATAATTCATTTCTGTCTTTCATTCTGTCTGATTCAAATGTCAAAATTTATGGACTTTGAATAAGCAAACAGTAAATCTGATTCATCGATGTATTATGAAAATTACTTAGAGCAACAAAAATGTATTTGTTATTGCATTTAGCATTGATTAAGTTGTGCTTGCAATAGAAATGGTTTCTGTTTTTAAAAGGGAGAGTAACTATGGTTTATTTGTGATATATTTCATACTTTACCTGTCATTAACTGATATGCAATATTGTGTTTTTTTTTTCTCAGGGAGATTCTGGTGGCCCACTGATTTGCAAGGGCAGAGTACATGGCATAGTGTCTTGGGGCAAGCTGTGTGGTGACGGCAGGTTTCCTGGGGTATACACAGCTGTGGCAAAGTTTCGTAGCTGGATTATCAGGACCATCAAACGATCGTAAAGCTGTCTGATTATCATTTCTTACGGAGTTAAGATTATTATTCTGTTAACTTCCTTGCAGTTTTATTCCATTTTAAAATGTACAGAATGACTGGATACATTTTAAGCAAAGAAGAGTAAGAAAATTGGGTTGCATGGAATTTATAGAATTATAATATGTAACAGCCTAGGAGGAGGCCATTTGACCCATCATTCCTATGCTGACACCTTGATAGAGATTGCCAATTCATTCCACTCTCCTGTGGCATTTAACTGGCTTTTATAACTGGAAATTGCATTCAAATCATGTATAACAAACATAATTAACACACAATTCTGAACATTTTCATCATCCTATAAGGATTTTACATTTTAGTAACTTAGAACACAGATTTATTGAAATAAGATGGAAAGACTGCACTTGATTGAGTTTTTATAGAATTCTCCTTATAAAATGATGTCTATAATTCTTTCTTTCACCATTAACTCCAAAGCTAACTAACTGTTTTTCATTTTGCTAACAATAAAGTAGCTCTAAACTTGTGTGTTTTTTAATGGCTTTGATATTTACACATTTGTCACAGTTCGTTTCGAAACTGGATTTATCAAAATCAGATATTCAATCTCATGCTTATTTACTGATATTAGCCCATACTTAAAATGGCAGATTAATTGATATTACATAAGATAAAGATGCTGGATTCTGTTGGTGCATCTTATGTTGGTTTCATAAATTCATCTTCTGAAGGCACAGATTCATACTAAAGCCTATTCCCACAGCCAGTGACTTGTGGTTGAGTGCCATCGTTCGTGTGTTTGTATGAACAGGGAACGTTGACTGGATAGGAGTTACTGGGTTCAAGACCCACAGCAATATGGTTGACTCTTAACTGCTCTCCGAAATGGCCAAGCAACCCACTCACGCATTGGCCTAGAAAGGGACACGCACAGCCCATGAATGAACGCTAAAGTGATTCAGCAACACAGCACTTCACATCTGAACCTGATCCACCCCCTGGTAATGACTGTCCACACATTCTGTGCCGAGCTCACTGGCTAGCTCTGCTCTTCCTTCATCCTCACAGTGTTGAAATTACCTTCCCACTGTCTCCATGCTGGGAATCATTTTCTCCAAGGACTTCAAAACGTTAAGTCCTTTCGATTATTCCCTTAAATCAGTGCTTTCCAAACATTTCCCATTGTGACGCCATTTGAGAAATGTGGCAGAATCAGGAGAGAAGTCCAGCAAGGACTATCCTGATGACAGGGGCAACTTGCTGCATCTTTAGCTAGGTTCCTGATGTCAAAATTCTCAATGGTCAGCAGTGGACTTCCTATTAAAGGAGATTATTGCTCACTAACTGCATATCTCGTGTCATTAATATGCAGCTTCCTATTGTACTACCTGCCCATGAACAATATACACACTGAAAATTCTTGTCATGGGACTCAGAGCAGATACTTGGTAGCTTCACCTGTTTGCTCTGAATGGTTTCCATGTTGCTCACTGGGCACCAACATCTCCAAGTACACTCTATGGGCACCAACCACCCACGACCAACGTCCACAGACATTGCCATCCAACATGTGCCAGCCTGTATGAACCCTCATGTAGGGTTCCTTGGTAATAATGGTGTGTACTATCTACAAGATGCACTGCAGAAATTCACCAAAGATCCTCAGACAGCACTTTCCAAACCCCTGACCGCTTCCATCTGGAAGGACAAGGACAGCAGATACATGGAAAACCACCATCTCCAAGTTCCCCTCCAAGTCACTCACTATCCTGACTTGGAAATATATCGTCGTTCCTTCACTGTTGCTGGGTCAAAATCCTGGAATTCCCTCCCTAGGGGCATTGTGGGTCAACCCACAGCAGAAGGCAGCTCATCACCACCTTCTCAAAGGCAACTAGGGATGGGCAATAAATGCTGGCCAGCCAGTGACACCTGTGAATGAATAGAAAAAAAAAGCCCATCTCCAACCCACTTACAGGACGTTCTGCCCTTCAATGCTGCCCCTGGAGTTGCCCCGGTAACTCTCATTGTAACACTGTAGCAAGGGCACTGTGTGCTCAGGGACACACCACCCCCATCCCCCACACTCCCCCCATCTCAGGGACTGTCCCAGGCTGTATCTCCGGGATCCTCACTCCCTGTCAGAGTTCTCACTCACTCTGAGCCTACTCCGATGCCCACCCACAGCATCCCTCCCTTACCTTGCTGTTTTGTACCTTGTCCCTCAGCCAGAGACACCAGGCTCACAGTATTGCTGTATCGCTGGGCTGTTTAGCACAGACACAAAGCCAGGAAGCTTGTTTCGGTTATCAGCAGGACTCAGTCAGGGTGAGGGGCGTAGCCTTCACCCAGGGGCTGCCAGCACAGTAAGGCAAGGGCAGCCTCCGAGACCAGTCCAGGGGCTCGGGCACTGCCAGTCAGCCCCTCGGGGTGGGCAGAGTCAGGATCCTCTCCACATAAAGGATGAGGGAGTGAATGTTGGGCAGGCCACTGCACATGTGGACCATTTCTGAACCCACTGTGAGGCTGTTTCCCTCCTGGAGTGAGACAGAGGTGGGTATTATGGGAGATGGAAGTGAGTGGTACTGCTGGTCCTGTTAGTGCAGGTGGGGAGGTGCCCCCGAGTGAGTGAGTGGGCAGCACAGAGGGCAGGCAGGGTTAGTGGTGTCGGGGTTTAGGGTGGATGAGGGTGAGTGAGGGAGGATGGTATAGGAAATAGTGAGAGAGAGTGGGAGACTGTGAGTCTTGGAGGGAGGTGGGTGCAGCAGCAGAGAGAGAGTGAGGGTGAGGTATTGGTGAAAAGAAGGTGGCACTTACCCTGGCAGAATGGACAAGGTAATTGACTGCCTTCCTACAACGCTGGGCATTCCATTAGACAGCCAGTACTGCAGTGACCCGGGCAGGGGTGGGGGATAACTTCAGACCAGACTGGGCAGGGTTGGTGTCGGGGCCTCACCTGCTGGTCCTGGGAGAAGGGGGACGTCCTACCTCTGCCCCACCTCATCCAGCAGGTCTCTGCCCGCAGAGCGGGGCACCAATTACCCCCTGGCTGTCTGCTATCTCTGGGGCAAACATCAGGAGCCGTGCAGAACAGCCCCTCACTGACATTGCTTGACCAGGTACACAATGGACTTTTAAAAATGGTGCTGGCACCAGGGATACCATCCATTCCAGAATCTTTTGGGTTAGTAAGCAGTAGAATTGGGCAAGATGGACACTGTGGATGGGAGGTAGGTCATTAATGAGTTCGGTAGGATGTGGCATGAGGACTCACTCAGCATCATTGAGAGAAACCCTCCGTGAAAATCAACTAAACTGACACTTAGCCAAAAAAACATAAGAATCAGCGGAACAAATTATTCTCTAATTGTTGTTCTTTCAATTTTTTATAATGGAAAAATGTAAAATCACAAATCATAGTTGCTACAATAATGTTTTCTAAAATGTCACAATATGTTTTCAAGAATCTGGATTTATAAAACACCTTGTAAATTTCCATGTAGCAGCACCCTCAGTGTAAGGTTCCCATTGACAGAAATCTTCTTTATGTCCAATCTTTAATGAGCCATCACACTCCCTGCATTAAGGCCTTTAGTTGAATGTGTATCCGGTTAGTTACACCCAGTGCAAATTCCCAGATCATTCCTTTCTTTTAAATTGTATTGGGATTCAATTTCTCAAGGGTTTTCTTAATTTAAGATATTTGATCTTTTGTTGGGGGCGCGGGTCTTTGTTGAACAATAAAGAAGCAAGTTCTTTCAGAAATGATCTATTTTAGATTTAAGGGTAAGTCCCAATGAATGAATAACGATGTGATTATTGTACATGAGGATGGTGATTGACAAACATGGGCAATCTGTCCTCTTCCCTTTCAAAACAAAACTGTCACAATACAGGGAACATATACCAAGAAGATAATGACATAATTAGGCAGAGTCAACATAGATAAATGAATGAAAAGTCATGTTTTACAAACATATTGGTGTATTTGAGGGTGTTACCGATAGCATTGATAAAGGAGACCAGTGGATGTGTTGTATTTGGATTTTCTAAAAGCTGTTGGTAACTTCCCACCTGAGAGGTTAGTAAACAAAATAAGAGCAGATGCAATGCAGGGTGAGGGGGCGGGAGGGTGGGTGGGGGTGGTAATATATTCCTCAGATACTGAAGTTGTCGATGTTCAAATGCAACAAGATCTGGACAATATCCAAGTTTGGGCTGACAATTGACTAGTAACCCATACAAGTGCCTGGCAAAGACCATCTGCAACAAGATAGAATCTAAGCATCACCCCTTGACATTTAATGCCACTTCCATCATTGAAACCCCCACTATCAACACCCTGGAGGTTACCATTGACCAGAAACTGAACTGGACCCAGCCATATCAATACAATGGATACAAGAGCAGGACAGAGGTTAGGGACCCTGCAGCAAGTAACTCATCTCCTGACTCCCTGAAGTCTGTCCATCATCTACAAGGCACAAGTCAGTAGTTGATGGGATGCCCCCCACTTGCCTGGATGAGTGGAGCCTCAACAACAGTCAAGAAGCTTGATATCGTTCAGGACAAAGCAACCCACTTGATTGGCATTACATCCTCAAGCATCCCCTCATCCATCACCGACGCTCAGTAGCAGCAGTGTGTACTATCTACAAGATGCACTGCAGAAATTGACTAAGGCTCCTTAGAAAGCAACATCCAAACTCATGATCATTTCCATTTGAAGGACAAGGACAGCAAATACATGGGAACACCACCTCCTGCCATTTCCCCTCCAAGCCACTCACCGTCCTGACTTGTAAATATTTTGCTGTTAGTTAAGTGTTGCTGGGTCAAAATCCTGGAATTCCCTCCGTAAGGCCTTTGTGGATATATCTAAAGCACATAGACTGCAGTGGTTCAAGAAGGCAGCTCACCACCACCTTCTCAAGGGGCAACTAGGAACGGGCAATAAATGCTGGCCAGCCAGTGATGCCCACATTCGATGAGTGAATAATAAAAA